AAATAATCTTTCATAAAAGAGAACGATTTATCCTAAGATCAGTTCTAATTCTAATCTATCACCTAATGCCTCCAGACCAGCAAACAGCAGAAATGTCTGCTTGTTTATCTGAAGTCATGTACCTTCATTACTGTCTGTCCTAGCACRAATTACCCTAAAATATAAAAGTAGTTCTTTATTTTTGATTGAATATAACCTAAAAACCAAAAACAGTTTTCAATCTGAGCATTCTCTCCCTAAAGGCATGTACTGTGTTGTGCTCAGTTAAGTGTTAAAAAAATAAGAAATGCCAAACGTTAACTTTCGTCCTCACCCTCGAGCGTCTGTCCAGTTAGTATAAAAAGTGGACACGACTGGTTAAATGTTGACGCTGGAAGCTTCAAAGCATAAAGTTAAAAATGCAGTTAAGAGACGTGGTGCACAAATCTCTGCAGCTGTCCTCTAAATGTTGTGCGGTTCACACCCCAAAGAACCTAAAGAGTATTCTAACCGTATATTCTTTAGACTGAGCCCTGTAGGGGTAGAAAGTTGATTTGGGTCCTTTTCTTCTGATTTTTTTTTTTTTCAATGAAATAATTTCACCCTGTCTGGCTCTTCCTAATTCAGGAAAATATTTCTGCTTCTACAGTTAAATGTGCAATAATCAACATTTTTTATTTATCAAAAAAGGGCTTTTCCTGTAGAAATGTTCATTGCCCACTRCCACAAGGTGAAGGACCAGCAGCGTTTTTATATATGTGTGTGTATGTTAGCAAAATATCTCATGATCCACTTGATGGATTTTAATAAAATTTGCGGTATAACGGTATTATGATATGGTACATTTACAACTCAACCCCTTAACCCTCGATGTACCACCCATAGTACACCCCCAGTTTGTGGTTACTTCCTCTTTATAGCCTGACCCACACTACCAGGGACTTTGAATTTGCATAATAAGCTGTTGAAACAATTTGATTGGTTGTCTTCTTTTGATTGACACCTCTTTTGACCAACTGGGTTYATCTGTAGACTCTCCAGAGGAGAAGGGGTTATCTGTGGAATCAAAGTGGGCGTGTCAAAAGCATAAACACTGTGGGCTACGAGGCCTACATGACGGTATCCTTAGATCCTGCTTGATCTCTTTACAGCCTGACCCTGACCCCAACACTAAGGTTAACCAGGAGAAATGTGACCCAAGTAGGAGTCTCCAGAAAAAGTGGTGCTGTACAGTAACGTCCCTTTTTTTGTTGTCCAAAGAGCTGGTGCCGTACGTTATCGCTCCTTTTTTGCTTGTCCAGTCAGGTGTGTCCCTTTAACAAAGCCCGTCAAATCAGGTGTGTCGCTTTGGAATCGCCTTTCCTTGTGACACGCCCACTYGTCTGCAGAGACCCCTACTTGCTCCAGAGCCTAAAATATGTGGCAAGCCCTTCATGTCCTAACTGTACATGGTACACGTGTTTGATTGACTAGAATCAGCCAATCATCTCTGAGCTTTATTCTGACACCACAGCTGTCTAGCCAGTCAAGTTACCTTTTATTCGATATGCAGCTTTGGAAATGACAAAAAAAAAAAGAATGATTATAGTGTATTTTAACTTCAATGACTGCTGAAGTTAAAAATTCAAATTGATAGCATTACATAGAGACTAGACTTGTCAATTTACTCCAAAGAGTTGAAGAGCAGTACCTAATTAAGTTAGGGTTAGGCCTGCAGGTTAACAGGTTATTAATATTTTAAGTCTACCCAAGTCATGATGGCTACCTGATCCTACTGACCTTAAAAACCACAAACATCGCTCCAACATAGTAAATTTTGCCGACATGTACCTCAAATTTGTTACGTTGGCAGCTGAGACTGATCCCCAACTTGTATTCTGTGTACAAACAGAAAAAAAAATACCACTAAATGTTTCTCTGTTAGAAATGTACCACTGAAACCACTAGTTGGGTTTGAATGACATTTCCCCATACACAACTGGATACTATTAAGAGCATAGCTCTGTGAGGTTGTAAGGAGTGTGTGTTTTGTCTGCTTTTAGTTTGAACAATGCTCTCAGATGTGAAACCCCATTCAGCACCTGAAGAGTAGAGTGTGTTATCACAGCTGGGCTCAGCTTTAACTATAATTAGCACACGGCTAAAAGTGTTCAGGAGGTTGTTTGTAGGTAAACATTTCCATGCCGGTTTGGAGTAAAACCAAAAATTGGGTTTTGGGGTGAAACGTTGGACAAGGTGTCACCTTTATGCAAGTGGACTTGGTTTCACCTCTCGGCGTCCAAATGACATCACTTAACTCCTTGCCTTCCTTTTTTTTTTTCTACCTTCACCTGAACGCTCAGACATTCCGTCTGAGCCGTTCAGAAGGACAAAAAAAAGAAATAAAAGGGAACGTTTGACGAAAAGAGCCGAGTCAGGGTCGGCGTGTCTCCTCACAGCCATGTTCTGATTCCTTTCTAAGAACAAAGTCTCGTCTCATTCTGCTTCGATGCTCTAACCCCGCCTTCTCTTTTTTTATTTTAAATATTCACAGGCACCACCCGGCAGCCCAGGGAGGGGGAGGTCCCGGGCGTGGATTATAACTTCGTGACCGTTGATCGGTTTATGGAATTGGAGAAAAGCGGCGCCCTGCTGGAGAGTGGGACGTATGAAGGTGAAGGTTTTAACGTCGTGCTCGATCGCTGTCATTCTTCTTTGTGTGCTTTTTTTAAATTTTATTTTTATTTATTTTAAAGGATGTATGCTTGAGTTTGACACACCAGGCATTTTCCTCTGAGTGACTGGCAGCAGTTTGAGTGAAAGCTTATCGCTCCATGTCCATACACTGCTCCCACGTCTCTGTGCATCCATCTTTTAGCTCTGTGGAGAAGTGTCATTAGAACAGAAGGACACTCGAAGGAATCTTCAGTAAATACTGAATGAAGGCAAATCACAGACACACACACACTTGTGCCATATTGGTGTTGCCTTTCTAGCTTCGTCCTTGAACATGAGCAGCTCTTCAGTCTTCTAATCAAAACAAACAGGCACGTGTTCCCCACTGTGGTCAGATTGCTCCAAAATGCTCCTCGTGGTCTGCCCGATGACTTCAGCTCTCTGCCAAAACACAGAAAACACAAAAAAAACTCTCTCCCACCTGACTCCTGCCTTTAAACTACACAAAAGAAACTGATTTTTTATTTATTTATTTATTTATTTATTTATTTATTTATTCAATTTTATCATTTTGTCGTAA